GAAGAGGGAGTCGCACGAGGCTATCGCCTCGTGCGACTCTTACGCTTCTTTCGTGCTTAGCAACCTCCCGCGTGCATCCATAACTCGATGGCCGCACGCTCCACGCTAACCATTTCTTAATTGGAGACAAAGAAATATTTTGGTGATAGGATCATAAAAGGCATTAAAAGTCGAATTAATTGGTGATTCTCCCAGAGTGATCGACACGTTTTCAATTGATAACAGATAGTTAGGAAGAACAGGAACATAAACCAAAACTTCGGAAATTGAATTGAACATTGTAATTGATCAGTGCATGATCTCTCGGAATTAATAGCAAATTTTCAATAGGCAATAATCATAATGAACAAGGAGCCGTGAAAGCAAAATTGTTTGTGGATCCAAACGGCGATCCTTTCGGAAGTAAGATTGCTGATATTCATGGAAGTAAGTTCTTATTTACTGTCGTTGTCCGCGTTGGATCTAGAGGGACTAGCGATGGGTGATTTGTCTCATTGTCGTCATTATTGGTTGAGGATGAATTTTCAGATTGATTATTTGTTCGTTCCTTCGTGTCAGGAGCATTTCATGAAAAATGTGATGTAGTATTGGATATGCTTTCGCATTATAATTTGCTTGTTTTGCTTCTCCAGTGTGTTTGACTGTGGATTTACCGCAATCTTTTCCCCCTTGTTACAAACAAGATACATGTTTGCGCAGACATTCAGAGTATCGGGACGACCCAGGCATTTCATCCTGTTCACTCAATAAAATTTGATGCTAAAAAAACCTAGGTTTATTTGATAATGACGACGCAGGAGAAGAGATTTGTTGAACAATTTAACTATAAAGAATTGCGATAAAATCGAAAAGTTTGAAAAACTAAAAACCATCTTGGTTTAAGAAAAATACGACGAAGTTGCGACGTTCGCTTAACGTCATTATCAAGTCAATAACGAGTGAAATGAGAACGAATATAAATGTAAAAGAATTCCGAAGAGACACAGATGACAAAATTGAAACTATGTAAATAAGAAAGAATTCACACGCAGAGTCACATATTCGCACGCAAAGTCCGTAGAGTTTGGCGCGAATAGTCTTTCCGAGTATTTAACTCGGGGTTCAGTTCCCTAATGAATAACATCTCAAAGATTAGACAGTGAAACTTTGATCGACATTTCTTTAGAACAGAAAACAACTTATCAACCAAATTACTTTTCAATAAACCGTGTTGGTTAAGATGCCTTCCGATTGCAGAGTGTTTGTCTTCGTTAATGCCCTGGTGAAAGTGTCGGGCGGTACACCCGACATAATCTGCGTCGCAGAGATCACATTCGAATTTATAAACGACGCATCGATTATTGACAATAGGGGGCTTCTTCTCTTTTAGAGCCAAACTCTTTACGTGACTCTGTGTGTGAATTCTTTGTTATTTACATATTTTCAATTTTGTTATCCGTGTCTCTTAGGAATTCTTTTACATTTATATTCGTTCTCTTTTTACTCGTTATTGACTTGATAATGACGTTAAGCGAACGTCGAATCGTCGTCGCATTTTTCTAAAACCAAGATGGTTTTTAATTTTTTAAACTTTTCGATTTTATCGCAATTCTTTACAGTTAAATAATGACGGTTTTTGAAAAGGGGTGTCCAATTGACTAGATATTATTTTAAACCTTGGTGGTGCAATAATGCCATAAAAAATAATCTCTATCAAAGGGGCGCCTTCCCTTCCTTTTTCTATTTTTTTTCTTTGTTACTTTTTGGTTAATGTTATGTTTGCCGAGAGCATGAATTTTTTGCTCTCTTTTAACTGAAAACCAGGACACGCCGATCTCCAACGCCTTACCAAGACTAACGAGTGTAACACGTTTTTGTGAGATGTTGAAAGCGACGACTCTTAAAGTTGGATGATGTGACCTTGAATGATTCAATTCGTAGAGACGGTGGGGCCAAAATACATTTGATTCAGAGTGTCTTCAGCATTTCTTGAGGGTCCTCTTCTCTAGTCAGTGATCATCAAAATTGAACTATTTGTCCTCAGTTTTTTTTTTTTGTGATCACCTTCTCCATTTAAAAAGAAAACAAAATTTATTAAGACATTAGTGAAAAGAGAGGGCGGAATTCGACTAAGATGGCGATATTGGACACACGCGAACTTGGTACATGTTAGCATATCGATCAATGATTGATTGTGAAATGATCCTTGATATTGTATCATGATTTTTTTTTCTTCGGTAATCGGAGTAACTTTTCCTGAAATGGCCTCTCTTTTGATGGAATACCTATTTGATAACCCAAAGGTGCATGGGAAACGGTCACGATTTCAAGTATTTTGTTTCCATGGTTATCTCAAAATAAACAACTATTCTGTCATTGTTGTTAAGGAAACATGGCTTACAATTTAGCACGAACAAATCAAGAGAAATTTCCTTTCCTGCATGTGCCGATGATGTTTTCGTCAACTGAGACAGCTTATATAGTAGAACATTCAAAATCAACATGCTCAGAAAACATCTGCATTACGTAACTTCGGAACAAAAAGAGCGAGGATACGTAGTTCAATTCT